GCTGGGAGCATCAGTTGAGTTTATCATGAAGAGCTGGCAAGGCACCCTGGCCCAGAGCAAGGGCCACGTACATGTGTTGTTATTAATACTCTTCCTGCACTTAGAGCTGCCAGAGGACCAAATACTCAACAGAACTCCCAGACAGGGCAACCATGAGGGACGGCCGGAGCTGCTGAGCCAGGCGGGGGCTCCAGCTGAGGAAAGGCTCAGCCCCCGTGCTTTGCTGGGCCCCTGCTGGGTGCCTGGCACCATTGACACACGGCTTCTCCAAAGCAGCTACAATAATAGCTAAAACGTAAAAGATAAATGATCCTGCTTTCCTTTTGGAAACCAATTGGAAAAATGGAGCACAGGTGTTTGCCCCGGAAATGCCACTTCTGGGCACGGGGCCCAGAGAAAGAACCTGAAATGCAGAAAACACTCCACTCAGAGTCCTGGGCCAGAGGTCCTGATGGGATAATGAAGAAAAGAGACAACCTGAGTGCCCAGCGACCAGGGAGGGGCGGTGGTGTCCAGCCTCTCTCTTTCCCAGGGGCAGGGGAGAGGGCTGTAGGGGCCTGGCTCCGGGGATGTCAGGGACAGTGTGATCCAGGCCTTTGTTCCTGCCATGCCCCATCCTGGGCCACTGTCCCAAGCCCCCATGCTATTCTCTGTGGAGAGAAAAGAAGCAGCTCCAGCCAGCGAGGTCTCGAGCACGCGTGAATGGGGCACCAGAGGCAGGCTTACATAGGTGAGGTGCTGTGGATGGGCAGGACATGGGAATGCAGGGGGCTGGTGAGGAGGGTCTTTGGACAAGCAATGTAGGAAAACAGGCTGAACAAAGCAATAGACTGAGAGGGAGGGGACTGAGCTCAAGGAACTTTCTGAAAACCCCAGGAAGACACCTAGAACCCCTGAACAAACCACCCCCAGGCAGGGCTGGAGCAGGGAGGGGCAGTTCTGGAGCCCTCTTGCTTGGCAGAACTCTAAATTTCTCAGGTCCTCAGAGCCAAGGGACACTGTGGGGGAGTCCCCTGTGCAGGTAGATGGAAGGAGAAAGTGTTCTCAAGGGGCTGCAGCAAAAGAATTTCCTGGAGCAGAGAGGGGCCCAGCCTGACCCACCCCTCCCCAGGCAGGCACCCTGCCCAAGGCCCCCCAGCCCTCAACTCCAGCCTTCTTCTTTCAGGCTGTGTACCAGCTCCTAGGCTACTCTGGATGCCGGGCTGTCCAGGCCTTGGGACAGAAGAGATCTGAGCCATAATCCCTAAGTCACAAGTCCTAGGGCTGGGTCCCTCAGAGTCATTATTCTCATTTCTCACCTGTACAAATAGGGAACCTGAAGAGGGATGGGGAGGAGACCTTTCCAAGATCACACAGCCATCAGTGATAGCTGGCCCTGGGAGGTGGCCCTCTGGGGGTGGTCACAGTCAAATTGGCATCATCATGACTCACATCCCCAAGGTCTCACTGGGAAGAAGACCCTACATCCTGCTTTCTTCTCTTAGACCCACAATTTTTTTTTTAAGATTTTATTTTTAAGTAACCTCTATGCCCGACATGGGGCTTGAACCCCCCAACCCAGAGATCAAAATTTGCATGCTCCACTGACTGAGCCAGGCACCCTAAGACCCACACTTCTTATTTCCACTGTACAGAAGAGAAAACCAAGGCTCTGAGAGGGGCCACCAGGGCTGTGCTGTGCCGGGAAAGTCTTTAGTATGAGGGAGGACCTTTGTGAGCCCTGCCACTCTCTGGCTATTCAATGTGTGGGCACACATTGAAGGGGTGGAGCAGGTGAGTGGGAACACAGACTCCAGTGGCCAGGGTCCATCATGGACCCACGCATGTCCTGGCTAAGACCCATCCTTCTATGTGGTGTGGTGTCTACCATTCAGGCCATGGACGTGGAGTCAGACAAGCTGGAATGCTCTGTCCACACCATGGGTCTTGCCTCCCATGAGGTCCAAACACTGCTAGTCCTGCACGTATATCATCCACAGTGGTCCAGTCCCCCGAACCACCCCCTCCCCCCGCACCCTGAATGACCAGCTCAGCCTCCTCACTGTCCCCTCTCCGACATGCTTGCCCCTCAGGCTGTTCTCCACTTAGCAATCAGGGGATCTTTCTAGGGACCACCAGACCCTGTGAGCACTAGACTTAAAGCTCTTTAGGGGCTCCCCTCTCCCCCAGACCACACCAGGTTCCTCCCTGGCCCATCCATCTCTGGAGAAGGGGCTGCAGCCTCTCCTTTGCCTGTAGCAGGGGTGGAAGGGCCCTGGGGCCTGAGGAGGTGTGGGTATGGAGGGGGCAGATGGAGGTCCTACAGATGCACAGAAGCTACAGGATATATGATGACCCTGGAGGTGTGTGATGGAAGGGGGTTGACTGCTTGAGCAAAGGATGTTCTGGCAGGCACTGAAGTCCCACGTCGCCTGTGGGCCTTAATCTGACCCAGCCAGAGACAATGGGGCTGAGGCCTCATTTTACCTCTGGAGGGTTGCTAATGATGGTCTTTAATGGCCATGCCTGGGAATGGATGACCTCACCCCTGCCGCTCCCTAATGAGAGGAGGCTAGAGTCAGAGGCAGGCGGCTCCTGCATCACTTGGGACCTGCTTGGGCTTGTCCTGTCTGAGAAATGAGGGGGCCGTGTGTGTGTGTGTGTGTGTGTGTGCGCATGTGCGCATGCATATGTGTTTGGTCCTTCACAGGGCCGGAGAGAGAAGGCTCCCAGCCTCACTGGTAAGGCAGGACCTGGGGGAAAAGACTCAGGACAGCAATATGAGGAAGCCTGGCTTCTACCATGACTCACTCTATGACCCCATCTAAGCTTTGCTTTTCCTATCTGCATGGGGTTGGGGACAGTGGGATGATTCTGAATCCTCCCAAGGGTCTCAGGTCTGCTGGGTATCAGGAGAGACCGATGGGACCAATCTGAGGAGATCTTTGGGAGGAAGTGAGAGGGCTGTGCTCAGGTGGGGTCCCAAATGAGCAGGGGAAATATGTCAGAGATCAGGACTCAGACATCCCACCCATGCGACCCAGGTTCCTGGGGTGCTCAGAGTTCAGCATGCTAGTTAGCATGCTCCCTCCAGGGACACCTGGCTCCCACATCAGGCTTTCCGGCTTTGGTTAAGGGTTTTGGTGTAGGTGCTGGTGTTCCCAGCCGCATCCAGACAGATGGACATGGAGGGCAGCCCCCATGCAGACTGGGCGTCAAGGGGCAGGCCTGAGTGTGCCAGGCGGCAGCGGCAGCAGGAGGGGAGGAGGCATGTTCCCGCATGGGTTCACTGCTTGCCTCCATACTGCCCTATTCTTGAGGGGTGACTAGGTTTGTACCCTGGGGATAGGCCCTTTGTGGGCAGTCCTCCTCCTGAGGGCTGCCTGCCCCTCCCCCCAGGCTCAGAGGAGGACCACCTTAGGGAAATGTTCATCTCTTGTCTGACGTCCTGCTGGGGAACTGCTTCATAGTGCTGCAAGTTCTTTCTCATGTCCGGCCTTAGTCACTCCTGCTGTTGCACCTGATTCATTTTTCAGAGGACAAACTGAGGGCCCCATTATCCTGCCACCCAGCCTGACATCACCAAACTTCCCTCGGGCATGTTCCCACTCCTGGGATAGCCCAGCCCGCACAGGAAATGGCTGCTGGATGAATGTGTCAGTGAGTGAGTGGCTCAGATCTTCCTCCCATGAGAAGGCTAGGAAGTGGCCAAGAAGTGGATGGGGGAGTTCCTGGGCCTGGGCTGAGATGGAGACAGAAACAGGAATCCAAAGGGAGGCAAAGAGGGGTCAGGAGGAGAGATGGGACTGAGGGCACAGAGACAAATGGCCTGGGACAGACAGGGCCCATGGGGGTATAGCACAGAGAAATAGGGTAGAATAAGAGGAGCTCAGAGTGGACCATGAGACAGATCAGAGGGACCATGAGGTGGGAACCTGGGAGCCCGGGTGGAGACAGCCGTCCAGAGTAAGCATGGTCTAGCCCGAAGTCACAGAGTGAGGACCCAGAGTCCCAGCCACCCGGTCATGAGCTGGCCCTCTGTCCTCACCAGAGGGAAGCAGAAGGGAGCCACAGCCAGGCATGGTGCTGAGGTGTCAATTTCCTCAGCTGAGGACACGGAGGGTCAGAGAGGACACCTGGCCTGAGGTTGCACAGGACGGAAAGCCCCCGGTCCTCCATTTGAGGAGCTGGCTCAGGAGGCAACGCTGCTCCCACCCCCCCATCCTGTGCTTGGGCACACTGGCACTGCCAGGCACTTACTCGGCCTGTCGAGGGCCCAGCCCCCAGCCCGGCACCCGCGGGCTTCCCCAGCCCCAGCCAAGGGCAGCAAGAGGGAACAAAGGCCCAGTCTCTGCCTGCTCAGCCCCCACCCCCTTGCCTGCCCCTGGCACAGACGGACCAGGGCCCCAAGGGAGCCCAAGTGCAAAAGCAGCACCCACCCCTTTGCCAAGGCTGCGAGACTCCCCTTCCCCCCTCCACAGGCCTGCTGGCTGCACAAGTGTTCCCCCATTCGAAAGATGGGAAACCTGAGTGACAGGGGTAAGGAGCTGGTAGCCATACATCTGGCACTAGAACCTAGGTCCTTTTGCTTCAAGAACCTACCTTCTACCACTCATCATATGCCTGAAGGCGTGACTGCATTCTGGTTGAACCTAACTCATGGGCAGAGATGAAAAAAGCAGAGCCTCCTGGACAGCCCAACTGGGAGTCTTTAGAAAGAGTACCTGGGGCCAGCCCAGTGTTGGTCATAGTGGAAGGGATAAAGCCAGATGACAGGCAGAGATGAGGAAATGGAGTTAGCACCTAGTGCCCGACAGGGCTCACTCAATTCTGCCAGAGGCAAAGGAAACATAAAGGAGCCCCCATTCCCCATCTGTAACATGGATCTATGTTGCCCACTGAGGGCCTCACACCCCCAGGCCACGGCCACCATCCTTCTCCAGGCCCCTTCCCTCTTTCTTGCTCTGTGCTCCCAACCAGAAGGAACAAAACTGGTTTTTTTTTGTTGTTTTGTTTTTCAGGTCCTGTTTTTGAGCCCCCAGTGGGGGGGGCCTACCTGGCGGGTGGATGCTCCCTTGAAGAATCCAGGCATGGCCAATTCCTCCCTGTAGGTCCAGGCCCAGACCAGGAAATGGAACGTAACATGTTCATTGTGTCCCAAACACCAGAAAAGCACTGAGTATCTGAGTGTGATTGGCTTGATTTTTATAGATGGAAACTGAGGCTACCCAGCTCCTGAGGAGCGAAGCAGTGCTGACCCATCACCAGGCAGGTTTTACATCCCACTGGCTTCCCAGGGACTGTGGGGTGGGGGTCAGGAAGATGAGAAGGTAATACTAGCATAGCCTCCATTCCATGCACGAGAGCAGCAAGAGAAGGGTCAGGGGACCTAGGGCCCAGTCAAATCTGGGTATCGCGAATCTGGGTGATGCCCCAGTGGACAGCCCTGAGCAATTCAGGGTGGGCAGAGGTTCAGCTGCGTGACCTTGGTCTACAAAACCTGTCCAAGCTTCCATCTTCTGTCAACCAATCAGCAAAATCCCAGAGAAAGCCCTGAGGTCCCTGCCTGCAGTGCCTGAAGGCTGGGCAAATGCCACACCTCCGCTCCTCCCCCAAGGCCTGGCCACTCCTCCCAGTGAGGGCCTTAGGGGACTTCACACAGAGCAGGTGCTGGGATGCAGATCACAGCCACTCTCCTTGCCACCCCCCAGCCTGGGCCCAGGCCCTTATTGGACAACACAACTTGTTTTAAAGAAAAAATAATATTTATTTGCAATATAAACAAAGTCCCGTTGCTGGTTCGGGATATATATATGTATGTGTGTGTGTATATATATGTAGGGTCACAAATTTTCCTTCATAAGATCATAAAGCAAAACTGGCCACCCTCTTGGCATACTCTCATTTACACAAATCTGATGCATCTTTCTGGGTTTTTCTTTTTAAAAGTAAAAAAGAGAAAGAACCATGTACAGCATGGAAGCTTTTCGTCAATTTCTCGACTGTGGCAAGATTTTAATCCGCTGCCTTAAAGAATCCCTGAAAACCGCCCCGTGAGGTAAGATGCAGTGGGGCAGAGTTTCCATGGCCTCACTCACATGCCAAGTGCCGGCTTGCTCAGGGACCCCAGCCTGACTACTCACCTCTCCCCGGGCCCCTGCAGTCCTGACACCTGGAGGGATTGAGGCTGGAGAAGGAACAAAACTGGAGAGGATAACGGAATCCGTGGCTTTGTTCTGTGGATCCTAGGAGGGGCGTGGACAGAGCCCCACACCCCGCTCACTTGTCCATCCTCGCCCCTTCTGCCCCTGCCCTGGGATTGAAACGGGTGCGAGTTTCCTGGTAGTAGAAGGCATGGGCAAGATGAGTGCAGGGCAAGCTTCCACGGGACAAGGGGGCTGGGAGTAGAGCTGGACCAAAGCAACAGCCAGAGTGAGGGACAGAAACTAGGAGGTAGGGCTGGGCCTCCACCACCGAAGCTTCCCCCGCCAGCCACTGGGCCTCCACTCTCAGTCACAAACAAACAGGGAGAGAGAGACAGAAGTAGTGGGTACGTATAGGAAGGGCCCGGGGCCCAGACCCTCCTATGGGCTGAGCCCAGAGAGCTAATGCTACTGCTTGGCAGTCCCCCACGACCCCACCTCCAGCAGGGCAGCGGCAGGGCCTCCCATCTCCTGCCTCAGGGGGTCTGCAGGGGCCGCTGGAGGGCAGAGAATGCAGAGGCCACCCAGGGCAGCCCACCTATTACGCCTTGTAGAGGTCATCACGGGCAAGTGCAGTGCCAAGGGGGCTGGGCCGAGGGGTGTGCATGACTGGGGGTGGGGGGGTCTGACACTAAGAGAGCAGCAGGCCACCCCTTCAAGAAGGACCTGCTGCAGAAACGGAGGCTTCACACATGTGCAAAACGCATTTGGTCAAGATCAACACGGGGTTTGTCTTTTCCATTAAAAAAAAAAAAAAACAAAAACCAATAATTGCTTTTTGAAATAGGAAGAAAAAACAAAACTGAGAACATTTCTCTCTCTCTCTCTCTCTCTCTCTCTCTCTCTCTCTCAGGATCAAGGAAGGGATGAAATACTGGTTTATACAATCCACTGTTGTATGTAGCCTGAAAATAATACTTTTCATTAAAAAAGAAAAATCAAGAAGAGCTTGAACACTCGCCGTGCTCCAGGGAGCTTGGATTTACCTGCCAAAAGTAAAAAGTAAACTCAGGTCCGTGGATGTGTCTTTAAAAAATAGCCAAACTGGCTGGGCCATTGGCTGATGGAGTGTCCTGGGACAAGGATGAGGCCCTGCTGGACTCCCAGGGCCATGTGTCTCAGAGCTCAGGGCCTCTCCACAAAGTCCTGCAGAGAGAGGCCTTGCTGTGGTTTCCGCCCTCCCCAGGGCAGCGAGGGAAGCTCAGCCACCCACCAGCCTGGGCCTCTGGGCACAGGCCATGTCCGATGATGTCTGGGTTCCGGTCGGACACAGCAGGAGCGGGCAGCTCACCTGGCCCAAGGGGGGTCGGGAGGGGCCGGCCCCACCCACCTGTGCCCCAGCCTCACGTGGACTCAAGGGTGTTGAGTGGGAACAGGTTGTGGTTGGTCGGCGTGGAGAAGTAGAGCTGCTCGCTGGGGGTGTGGTTGTCGCATGGGCTGCTTAGCCCCAGCGTCCGCTCGAAGTCCAGCAGCTGCCCCATAAAGTTGAAGTTGGGTGAGATGTTGGACTTTTTCCTCTTGACAAAGTCGTAGGCGTCATTGAGTGACAGGTTCATCTTCTGCATCAGGTAAGCCACGGTGACGGTCACCGAGCGGCTGATCCCTGCTAGGCAGTGCACCAGGACACCACACTTCTTGGAGCGGGCCTCGTCTGAAACACACAAGCATGGGTCAGGGAGGCTCCTCCTCCAGGGAGTCAGAGGTGGAGCAGAGGCACAGAGGGTGGCACGGCCACTAGCTGGTGCTGCCTGACTCTTGAGGGACCTGGTGAAGTCCAACATGAGCAGGACAGCAACTTGGCATGGAGGTCAAGAGCATGACTGACTGTGGCATTAGCTTTAAGTCACTGGACATCCCTGTGCCTCGGTTTCCTCACCTATAAAATGGGCCCCCTTGTTCTCAATGCTCTTGTAAGGACCCGAGCCAAGAGAGGGCTCCACAAACACCAGCACCAGTGACGGCTGTGGTCATGGCTAGTCCCGCTGCTGCTACAGCTGAGTGCGCAGACTGTGCTGAGGGTGTCACCCGTGTCCTCTCAGGCCATCTGCACCACGGTTAGCAAGTTCATTTTATAAAGGAGGACGCAGACGCAAAGACAAAGTGACAAGCCCAAGGCCACACAGAGGCTCCTCCTAATGCACAGCACATGCCGTCAGCCCGTGACCTGGTGGTGGGGGCTGAGCTTGCTCTCCTGGTGCAGCTCCCAAGGGTACTCCTTGAGAGTCTCCTGGGAAACAGGCCCGAGGGAAGCCCTCAAAAGGGAATCGGGGCCTGGCCCTACACTCAGCTCTGCCCCAGCCTCAGCAGCTTAGCCTCCCAGGGCCCGGGAGGAAGGCTGCACTTGAGGCTTCACAAGCGAGGTTTGCTTAAGCGCAGCCCACCCACTCACTTACTCGACTTTCCCCAGCAGGCCCATGCATCAGTAACATCTCCCACCACAGCCAGCCAGCTTCCGCCAATCCACCCAGCTTCCCCTGGTGCCGCTCTCAGACTCCTCCGCTTGACCTACAGTAGGAGCTCAATAAATATTGGTCAAGCCACTGAACAACTCAGTCCTGTCATCCCTCCACCCCTGGGCCTAGGGTAGCTGACTCTCTCTGTGCCAAGGATGTAGATTAACAAGAGGCAGCTCTCTGGGGCCCTCAAGGTCCCCACCTCTGATTCTGAGACCACTGGGAGCCAGGCACAAAGGCAGCGCTTAATCAGTGCACTCGCACAAGATGACACGCAGGTTCACAAGCTGTTCTGCTTCTGATGCTCACTCTCTCTGGCCCAGCAGAGCTTCCCCTCCTCACCCCATACTTACCCAAGGCTAAGTATGCAATAGGTACATAATCCAGATTCGGGGACTGACTAGGGGCAAGACTAGCAGGGCAAGAGATAGATATTGTGGCTTTGTGCAGAGTCCTGTGGTCTGACCTTGAGACTTCGGGCTAAAGGGGTGGTGGAGATGAGCTTCCAGTGGTGACACACCAGGATATGGGGAACGCCTGGCCCCCAAACCCACTCCTGGGTGATCCAAAGTGAAACTGCTTCCGCTGGCTTTATTTTTAGCACTCTCAGGGTGTGGCTGAACAGTGTGGGGGCTGGGGCTTGATCCTGTCCCACTGAGTCCTAGGGGATGCTTGGGCCTCTATTCCTTCACTTGTGTCCCTCCACCCCTACACCCCCAGATGCAGAGGGGCCTTCAAGAAGGACAAAGACACCCATGACCCAGGCTCAGCCCCTGGAGTCTGTCCGGGGTCCCCTTTTCCCCTCCCCTTTCTCAGTGAGGGAGAGTGAATGCTCAGGCAGCATACACACACCTCTCTGCTGCCGGCAGCGTTCTCCTGGGCAGAGCTGGGAAGCTCTCCCATCGCCAGGTCACAGCCCCTCCCCCAGGCCTCAGCTTCCTTCCTTCCTCCCAGCCAGGCACCTAGTTTTGGTTCCCAGTAAGCGGATGAGGCGGGGAAGCCTCCCACTTCCTGTTATTAAAGCTAGCCCAGCCCAGCTGACAGCAAAACGCCCTCCACTGGACAGGGCTGCCGGCAGGAGAGGACTGTCCAGGCCACCTCCCCTCTACCAATGGAGGCTGGGGAGAAACACGGGGTCACCAGGCTCAGAGAACCAAGGGTTTATGTACACCCTGTTCTTATATCTCTTCCCCTGGGAAGAGCCAGGGCCGGGAAGATGGCCTGTAGTCTAACAGCCTCCAGCTGGCCATGGAGGAAGCAGGATGGGGAGGTCAAAGATAAGGCAACTTGTGGAGCTTGAGTCAGCTGGGGATGTAGGGGGCTGAGGGCTCTAAGCCAAACAGCAGAATTGCAGAATGCTCTAAGGGAGGGCCCCTACACTCCAAGCAAGCCCCATAGGTTGCCGGAAGCATCTGGTGCCCCACCAAGTCACTCTGGGTCACCAGATTCCAAAAGCTGCCTATTTGGGGTAGGCCTCTGGCTTCAGGGCCACCCTTCAGCCCCCTCAGGTACAAAATAAAGCCCAAAGAGGGACCGTGACAGCCCCCTCCTGGAGAGACATGTGTGCTGAGGCGTGATGCAGAGCAAGCAAGACTCGTGGGAGGTCTGAGAG